TGAAACGGGCATCTTGCGCTTCTAGGTCTTCAATGACGGTCCAACTAAGATCAGTAGGTGATACTAAGTTAACCGTATGATTGTAACTTGGTTGCCGCTTTATAGAAACAACATCTAATTAAATCATATTTTTGTAGAAAAAATTCTTTATTTTATAACACAGTTTTTTGAAAAATTAGATATGTCTCAGAAAAAACTACCGCTTATTTCAATTGTGACCGCTGAATTTCAGACGGATGTTCAAATGACATCATAGAGGAATTAAGTTAGAAAATAAATAAACATTTTTTTAACATAGATCTTATTAGTATAAATAACCTTACTTCATGAATGTATCAGTCAAAAATATCATAGCAATAATTCAATGTCTTCACACTATTCATCCATTTGTTCTTCACATAATATTAGCAGTGGTGATGAAAGTTAAAAGTAGTCAACTTTATTTAATGATGAAAATAGAGCCAAAAGCCTTAAGTAAACAAACTTACAACTAATTATTAAACATATTCATAACACAAAGTATCCTATCACTTAGACTGGTAGTGACATTATTACCAAATCAAAAGAATCCGATTGCTCTTAAAGTACTAGAAAACGTGACACCGATTATTACCCAGTCATCAATCGATATAACATGTATAGAATAAGGTCTGAACAACTACTCTGTTTATGTCAGCAGTGATTCCAAAAAATTGACTGTTTACTTGAATAACCTTTCAAAACATTCATATCAATTTATATATATACCAAACGATTTTATGAGTCTATTTTCCCATATTATGGACAAGAAATCCTTGTAAAAGTATAATATACAGACGGTCTTTCAGTTAACCAATCAGCATTACAATGACGTCTCATGTGTTTTGCAAAAAGTTTAAGGTGCAATGATGGATAACTTTTATTTTCTTGCAAAAGAAGTAAATATCGACAATATTTGGTCCTTTAAAGATTTATACGAATATTCATTATACAACTAGAAAATGAGTTTAACATGATTATTACGCTAAATAACAAAACATACCTGCTCCAAACCCAGAATATGTGGTAAAGTACTTGGTACGATTCAGTATGTAGTCAAGAATGCTTCGTGAGCCTAGATAGCATTCTCCTATTCTAATCCCTACTTTTAACTCCAATTACATGTTTCATGAGTTTGTAAACAGAAGAGTGACGAAGAATTGTATTATAGCCGATGTTAGTTCGTGATGAATACCTTAACCCTAATTTGTAAAACCATCTTAAAACTTCAGCTTAACTCTTAATACCTAAACCTAACCCATTTTAATTATTTCTGGATTCAGTTAGTAGCAATTACTCTATGGGATAATTATCCTAACTTATAACACTACCCCAACTCATAATTTGTAAAACTTAACCTTTTTTTTCTTTTACTGTAAAGAATAATTCAATACTTTACGATTAATTATTCAGATCAAAACTATTATTCCACTATTATATTTACAATTTATTGTTAATTCTTTTGTAACTAGGCGCCGTTTTCTGATTGGCTAAAAGGTTACTGACAGTTATCATTATATTATACTTTTATTGAAATTCCTTTTTCGAAAATATTATTTCTTCTTATAGCTAAATGAAGTTTATTTATTAGAAGCCAATTTATTGATAATTAGTATCATATAAAACTAACATTGTAACTATAACGAAGTAAATATATATCACTTTGACAATTAACTAATGATCAACAGTTTTCTGATGACTTTTTTTGTGTATAAGTGTTCGTATGAGCAAATATGCTTCCGTGTGTGTGTGTGTGTGTGTGTGTGTGTTTGCGTATGTCTATATATATATATATATATACGTTCGTCAATGTGTACGTGAATCCAAGTAAAATTGTCAATATTATTTGTAAATTACAATAAATAACTGTATTGTACACACACAAAAAAAGAGAGAAAAGACAGAAATTATTAATAAAATCATGGGAAAAAAAAGAAAATATCAGAACAATTTACTAAGAGGGAGAGTGGGATTGAGAGAGAGAGAGGGTAAAAGAGAAAATGTACTGTCACCTTTTTTTTTAAAAATCACATCTGTGAACAAATTATATATCTATGTGTAAGGGAGAAGGAGAAAGAAATAAAAGATAAGAGATTAAAGACAAAGAAAAGAAAAGAAAAGAAAAGAGAAAACGCAGTTTTTTTATTAGTGTTAATTTACCAGAAACTACACTTTGAAAGAAAAAAAACAAACATTTTTTTCAAATAATTTTAAACTAACCCTTAGGCAGTTGAATAATTTAGAGAGAATCAAACTTCAATAAAGAGAAACTGTTATTTTCTCTCTCTCTCTCTGTGTGTGTGTGTGCGTGTTATATTTTCCTCTTGAAGAAAAAGCAACAAAACTTTAGGTGAAATAAATTTAAACAAAATTCACAATTAGGAATAACTTAAATTCTAAAGTGAAATGTTCATTTCTTTTAAGAAATTTTAGCAGAGAAAAAAAACGAAATAATATGAAAAGTAGTAATTATTACTGGGGTGGGATGGGGGACACGAAACTTTTCAGAAAGGGGAAAATGCTGATTATTCATTCATTTCTATTCAATTTACAAGAGTAGTTTACAACAACAAAAATGAATGGATTCAAGTATTGTACCATTGTAAATAAAAGGATTATAACTATACGCAGTATAGTTAGTGTATTATTGAAAAAATATAGAGTACTACACAATTAATTTATTATAATATTGGGATCATTCAACAGTACATATCCAAGCTCTTAGTAGGGTTAGAGTTTAGGATTTCAACTGAAATATACGTATGTATATATGGTTTTCTTTCAATATTTCCAGCCCTTTACATTAATTCGTTCATAATTGTTCTAGTCTAATATAATACAAACCATTACCGATCTTCATTAAAAAACAAACAACTGTCGTTTATGTTGTAGCATGCAAATATTTGATTATGACAATAACAACCGATTCACTGAGATGATATTTACTGTTTTAGACGAATTGTTTTTAGCATTAATACTAGATGAAATAAATCAGTTTGGTTTATGAGATTGTAAATTGATGTCTTCTGACTTCAACTATAAATAATCATAGTTAACCAAGTATATTTTCTCAGGCAAAATCCCGAATTCTATCTCGATTTACTTTGACTCGAGATATTCAAAACCAAATACGAAATTAGAGTTCTAACCCAGACGACTAAATCCATAGTTGTTAGACCAGTTAAAAGAAAATGTGCATGAATATCAATTTGAGTGAATATATGTTAGTTACAAATTATTGACTGAGTGCATTAAAACCAGTATGAAAATAGACAGAAATAAGTTAAAGATATGTACACCATCAAGCACATAAAGTATACATAGCTAATTAAATGTTCCAGTTACAATAAAGTAATTAATGGAAATACAACAACATCTGTTTTACACACATTTTGTCAATCCACAATTGAAAGGAGTCATTTTAGCAGAAAGATATGACAGTGTGAAAATTCGGCTAGATTTGTCCAAAAACACAACAACCTATATCTGTGTATCTAGAGAGTGAGAAGCTTAAGTGTTGACATTTTTACTAAATGACTTATTATTTTAGCTAAGGTCACCATACATATGCTACTATTAGTCTGATACCTCATAGATTTATATGAGCTGCATACAATACTATTGGGTTTTCAGCGACAAATCTTCTTACACATTCTTCTTTTTTTTCGCTTAATAGCTAGTTGATCACATTTTAGTAGTGTGATAGCTAGTGAATCGAACCACAAATCACAAGAATTGTTCTCTGAATTGTTGTCTCGATTGCAAAACGATACATATATATATACACCGCTTTTTGTTTACCACAACTCCGAATAAATTGGAAAATTTCAACTGGTTTAATTACAAACTAAGTGCAAGTCAATATTTAGAAACAATGAATTAAATGTCCATAATACGAAAGACTAGAAAATGTTTTCTAACTAGATCTATTTTAATCTTACAGAGTTGTAAGCACAAATAAAACTGAGTTTATGTAAAATCTTTATAACTCGAATAACTATAAAGGCTAAGTTCACTTACTGTAAACCCTACGTGACAAAGATTTAAATACTATAATAAAATATTAGTTCCTTCAAGATAAATAGATATAACTTGTTAGTGAATACCAATTAAAATGAACTAAAGAGCAAACAGGTTTTCCTCCAAATAGTCTTCAACCACACAAATTTGTCTACTCAATTACATTTCGTAACGTTTCCTGTACAACAATTAATCTCTTTATTATAATTCAAACAGCAACTTTAAAAAATTAAATAATTAGTTAATTTATCTTATTGTATATACATTTTATCCTCTAGTAAACCTCACGAATGCTCCCATCCACCCACTCACACACAGTCAATATCAAGCTTGTTTTCATCTTATACGTATTTATATGTTGAATCAATATTTAATATTATAATGATCATTGCTTCACTTGGTATTGTTTTACATGAATTTTCCCATTGATGTTTAGGACTGAAATTGATCAGTCTCTTATTGACAAATGTGCATACTGTGAGTATTGCCTCGATATTGCCTTAATTTACAAACATTATAAGAAAAGATGCACATATGTCAATAAAATACTGATCAATCACAGTCCTAAACACTAATGGGAAGATTCAAGTAAAAGAATACCAAATGAATTTAAACTCCACCCCATTGCACAAGCAAGGGGTTATCAGGACTCAGTAGTGAAGTGGATAACGGGATGGCGCTTGGAGCAAACGGTGCTGGGTTCGAGTCCTGGAGTGAACGTCAACTCTGAGTTGCAGGTACATCCAGCTGACGAGTCCAAAATAGGATGGAACGCGCGTCCTAGATTAAACTGCTAATCACTACCCATATTTGTTTATAATCATTGCTTATCATTATTTGCTTTCACAGAACTTAAATTAGTTCCTTTCAACATAATTTACTACGATATTTTTATCATGATACTTTATTTCAAAACACCGAAATTACTATTTAAACCAATTATACAAACAATAAATAAACTATTATTCTACTCGGTTTCCAAGTATTAAAATCACTAGCGTTTCAGTTTTACATATATCTCTACAACAATTAGATTTCATAATTTCAAGTAAATTTGAACATTGAACAAATCGTTTACGATGAGGACAAACAGTAATATGTGTATATACATAATAGACTAATGAGAAGAGAGATTAAATTTCTGGTATTATTTCATCTACAAAACTTACAGTATTAGTTACATTAAATTATTTTGACTTTTGTTTTTTTTTGGAACGTAAACCATTAAAATGGTTGTCCTGGATTTAGGACAGGACAATGACCTTTAATTTGACTTTCAAACCAATTAAATTCAAGGTCACAACCTAAATAATATAGTTTAATTATGTGTATTATGAATTATTTAGTTTATGAAATGATTTTCATTGACTACATACATCACATTCTATGCTTAGATCATTCAATTAAACACATATATGTTGTAATTACAATTACTTCATCACTGGGTGGTGATCAATGTCATGTGTATCATGTCCTTCTTGACACTGATCACTACCCAGTACTCAATCAATTGTAAATACAACTCAGTCCGATAGGAGGTCAGTCGCGACACGAATAGCCCAGTGTTAACGTCTCTGACTGTGAAACTGTGTGATACAAGATCTAATCTGTCATAGAGCATCAGTTCCCTCAAGATTACAGGTACACCTTGCTGATGAGTAACATTATAGTACAAAACCTAAGTCCAGAGTTTCTTGTTGACTATATCCAACCACCATTTTATCTCAACATATTTCTTGTAATTGTGACATTATATTGATTCAACATGTTTTTTGTTTATTCTACAATCTTTCTCTACTTTCCCATTCTTTAAATCTGTCTTTTCATCTATAATTTTTCTTATATAAGAAAAATGATGATAATAATAGTGAAATTATTTAAACAATTGTTGTTGAAAAATCATATTTTCCCTAAAACATGACACTTTCAAAAATGATTGAAAATAACTGTATCAATACAGAGTTATAATATTTTACTAATTAAAAATTATTCATTAACATAAGCAACTAATCACTTCATTATTTATCCTTTTTTATATCTTCTTTGTTTACTGTTTTACATTTTAAACAATCTTATTATGATGCAATGAAGTAATTCAATGTTAAAATGATATTTCATTACTTACTTACTTACTTACTCTTGTTACTCTTCGTGAAGGAGTATAGGCCGCTCATTAGCATTCTTCATCCAACCCTGTCTTGGGCAATACTATCTAGCTCTTTCCAGTTGTTATTCCAGACGTAATGTGTTCTTTGATATTTCATTAGAAAAATATAATTTGTAAATCATAGGATTTTAAAATGAATTAGTTCCGAAATTGAAAAATGGTGCCAATAATTAAGATAATGAATAATGTATAAGAAACTTAAAACAATTGTTATAATTACTATTATTATTATCACTATTATTATTATTATTATTATTATTATTATTAGTAGTAGTAGTAGTAGTAGTAGTAGTAGTAGTAGTAGTAGTAGTAGTAGTAGTAGTAGTAGTAGTAGTAGTAGTAGTAGTAGTAGTAGTAGTAGTAGTAGTAGTAGTAGTAGTAGTAGTAGTAGTAGTAGTAGTAGTAGTAGTAGTAGTAGTAGTAGTAGTAGTAGTAGTAGTAGTAGTAGTAGTAGTAGTAGTAGTAGTAGTAGTAGTAGTAGTAGTAGTAGTAGTAGTAGTAGTAGTAGTAGTAGTAGTAGTAGTAGTAGTAGTAGTAGTAGTAGTAGTAGTAGTAGTAGTAGTAGTAGTAGTAGTAGTAGTAGTAGTAGTAGTAGTAGTAGTAGTAGTAGTAGTAGTAGTAGTAGTAGTAGTAGTAGTAGTAGTAGTAGTAGTAGTAGTAGTAGTAGTAGTAGTAGTAGTAGTAGTAGTAGTAGTAGTAGTAGTAGTAGTAGTAGTAGTAGTAGTAGTAGTAGTAGTAGTAGTAGTAGTAGTAGTAGTAGTAGTAGTAGTAGTAGTAGTAGTAGTAGTAGTAGTAGTAGTAGTAGTAGTAGTAGTAGTAGTAGTAGTAGTAGTAGTAGTAGTAGTAGTAGTAGTAGTAGTAGTAGTAGTAGTAGTAGTAGTAGTAGTAGTAGTAGTAGTAGTAGTAGTAGTAGTAGTAGTAGTAGTAGTAGTAGTAGTAGTAGTAGTAGTAGTAGTAGTAGTAGTAGTAGTAGTAGTAGTAGTAGTAGTAGTAGTAGTAGTAGTAGTAGTAGTAGTAGTAGTAGTAGTAGTAGTAGTAGTAGTAGTAGTAGTAGTAGTAGTAGTAGTAGTAGTAGTAGTAGTAGTAGTAGTAGTAGTAGTAGTAGTAGTAGTAGTAGTAGTAGTAGTAGTAGTAGTAGTAGTAGTAGTAGTAGTAGTAGTAGTAGTAGTAGTAGTAGTAGTAGTAGTAGTAGTAGTAGTAGTAGTAGTAGTAGTAGTAGTAGTAGTAGTAGTAGTAGTAGTAGTAGTAGTAGTAGTAGTAGTAGTAGTAGTAGTAGTAGTAGTAGTAGTAGTAGTAGTAGTAGTAGTAGTAGTAGTAGTAGTAGTAGTAGTAGTAGTAGTAGTAGTAGTAGTAGTAGTAGTAGTAGTAGTAGTAGTAGTAGTAGTAGTAGTATAAAGAGTAGAAGTGGTAACGTTAATTATCTTAGCGTTTTGTAATTATTAACTAAATATAACATTGAATGTATATTCATACTTCCAAAATAAATGTGAAATCATTGAAACAAGTATCTGGTATCATTAGTGATCTTATGTATTTAAGTATGTTTAAATAGAAGGTTTTGTTTAATACTGACTAACTTTAAGAGGTTCTCCTGGAGTTCTACTGAGAAAAGACAATCAGTGAAGGTTAACTATATTGAGAGTGACGTAATGGATAAAAATCGTGAAATACCATAAATGACCAGGTGCTCCTATCCCATAGACACAAACAAATGCAAATGAAGACAACTCGTGTAGCAGCTGCCTCTGCATCAGTAGGCTTCAACATACACAAAGGAAAAAGCAAGATCGTCAAATGCAACATGAAGAACACCGACCCAATCACACTTGATGGAAAAGCCCTGGAAGGTATGGAATCATTCACGTACCGGGGAAGCATTATCAATGAACAAGGAGGATCGGATGCGGACGCAAAGGCGAGGATTGGCAAATCAAGGGTCGCATTCCTACAATTGAATAACATATACAACTCAAAACAACTGTCTGCAAACAATATCAAAGTCAAAATCTTCAATATAAACGTAAACATAGTTCTAATGTACGAAGCTGAAACTTCAAAAACTACCACAATTATCATAAAACTTACTTAATTACGCCTGTTACTCCCAATGGAGCATAGGCTGCCGACCAGCATTCTCCGTCATAAAAGCGTACAATTATTTATAAACAGTTGTCTATACAAGATACCGAATGTCCGTTGACAGTATACCGTCATCAACAGTCTACTGTGGGACTGGACAGACCAGCTTTCAACTGAAGAGGCAATTAGGAAATGTTGGAAGTTGATAGGACACATATCAAGGTAATCATCAAATTAAATTACGCGACAAGTACTAACCTGGAATCCTGAAGGGAAATGGAAAAGTAGAAGACCATAGAACACACTGAATCGAGAACTGGAAGCAGACATGAAAAGTATGAATAAGAACTGGAAAGAACTGGAAAGTATTGCTTGAGACATAGTTAGATTGGGAATGTTGATGCGCGGCCTATGGTCCTTCACGAAGCGTAACAGGCATAATTAATTAAGTACCATGAATTAATTAAAATTAAAAATCCAAACCACTAGACGTCAACTCACTAATATAAAATCGTAGAGCTCATCATGAGGTTCAACAGTCCTGTCTGCATTCCATTCCTGACAAAATCATTAATGTACATTACTAAGAAATCATATAATAAAACGAAATAAATATCTAATACTTCTTAGGTTTAATCGTTTCTCTACTATAAAGTCAGTCAATAATGTAAAACTATAAAATTTAATTTTGTTTTAATTAAGTTTAAGAATTCAGTCAAATGATAATCTAACGTTGATATTAACAGATTTAAGGTGTATGTTATTTACTAATCTATCATTGAAGTATTCACTGTAATATGACATACTATAATGAATGAAAAACAGCCTTAGATTTAAGTTTTAGCCATTAAATATTACAGAATAAATGTATTGAATTACATTTTATCAGTTATATCCTATGGATTTAAATTATGTTAAGTGTGAATTTTCTTAATTTATTTATTTTTAACTAAGTCATATAGGAAGGGGTTTCTATGGATATTATAATAATTTTAATAGTTGAGATCATGAGAAAATTGTAGACCACCATCGAAAACCTGGAACCACTTGAGGGCTGTTTCGTGTTATTGTGTGACTCCTCAGCGGTGATTATTCACGACCCCGCTACGCGAGATTCGAACAGAGGATCTACCAGTCTCGCTCTCGAACGTTAACCTCTAGACTGCATCCAATGGTGTTAATGTCTAACTTCAACTAACCTACGAAATTAGGCGACACAAAAAAATTTCTTGTAACTGATTTTAAACTGTAAAAACTAATCTGCCTTAAGTCAGTTGAATATGGTTAAAGAAACTGAATGATAGAAAAAGTCAAACAGTTTGCTACTTTTAAATGATTCATCTATTTCGGGCAGGATACTTTTCATCTTAAATATACAAAATAGTGAAATAATCATTTATTGTTAAACGTAAGTGACATTTATCTCGCTTTCTAAATATATCAAATAGAACTTGTTTTCATGTACTCAATCATCGACGTCCAGAAAAATTTAATCAAGCCAGCGTATCTATACTAAGATTTGTAATTGATTTCTATGATGTATTGGTGAGACTATAATTTATGGAAGATCTTTGAGCGATGTTAAACTGATCTTGAGGATGGCCACCTAATAATTAGAACCAAATGAGGCTTATAAACCAGGGGTGAGGAATTAGAATTATGATTTCTGGATGATGGTTAAGGTTAGAAATTAGATTTAGGGTTTTCATCACAAATTGACATCAGCTATAATGCCGAAACTATTTAGTCAAATGGATGAGTAAATTTCACGCCAAAACCCAAGACTCGTTATCTTATATCCGATTGGTTCATCCATAAATTATAGTCTCGCCGGTTTATTTTATCTAATTGTATTACTATTATTCTCAATTGAAATAATGAATATCTATTTTGGAAAAACACAACTGTTATTGCTGGCATCCAACGATGTTAATGTCTAACTTCAAATCTATTCATGATCTTAAGGTCTAGAGATTAAGCGTTCGTGCGCGAAAGCAAAGGTCTTGGGCCCGAGTCTCATGTGTAGAATCGTGGATGTACACTACTCAGGAGTCCCATATTGAAACGAAACAGCCGTTCAGTGCTTCTAGGTCTTCAATTACGGTTTAGCTTAGATCGACTCATGAATTCCACTATTAAAATTACTACAATCTTCACCAATCCCCATTCTGATAATGATGATAATAATAACAATAATAAATATATGTATAGAAATTTGTAGAAAAAAAAGGTGTCATATTCAATTAAAAATAATGCTCTATTAGAAAAGATCTTTTTAACAGTTTAAATGAATGCTTATACCGTCTAGCAATTATTCTTGGAAATATGCTTGATTGTTGTTTGTTATTTTTTTTTAACTCGTTGCTTTCAACATTGAATACACATGGTTTCAATACTACTATCAATAAGTCTATGGAATAATGAATAATTGAATTCAAATAAATTTGTTTTAATTTAATCTATTTTATCACGCATGTCTAAATAATGTACAAAATTGTGTGTGTGTGTGTGTGTGTATGTGTGTATGTGTGTGTGTGTAACTATATTTCAATATATGGAACACTTAGTAGTCAGCTATCAATTATAGACAATGTAAAAACCTAGAATGAATGTGTATACCTAAAGAGAGAGAGAGAGAGAGAGAGAGATTACATTTATAAAATAAGAAATAAAGGAAAGAAAGAGTGAAAACACTTTGACTTTGTTCAAAAATCAAAAATACAGCTTGGAACTAATGAATATAAGTGAAGAATGAAAATTATGAACTGAGATATGCTTCGAAATTTGCATAAAAATCAATGCATCGTGACTCCATTTTGAACTGTACTGTACAATATCTTCCATAGTAGATTATCTTAATGGTACGAAGGTTAAAAAAGAAAAGTGAGTCGTTTTGAATAGAATAAATAATCTTTCATTCTCATAAACAAAACTTTGTGCTAACCTTGGATACTCAGTAGTTCTGACGTCAGGTGTACTGTGACGAATAAACACTCAGGTGGGAGCGATCAAATGTTTTTTAGTACAAAAATTACAGAATCTCTTGAAAAAATATGAGAACCATATGTTGGATAATTTACTTTCAAAATTCCATCATTTATCCTTCATATTCTGTATGATTGTTCCAAGTCACAATTCTTTTCTATTTCCGTTTCTGTTTTCTTTCCAACTTGATCTCCTTAGCCTTCTGCTGCCAGGGTTTTAACTTCCGATTGGTGTTACATACTACTTTTATCTGTAGACATAAGTAGCGTACACCATAATTCCAGGTAGGTGGATCATAATTTATAAACATCCTTGACACATTAGGCCACTTAACTTTACCTTCTTATGCAACATGTGAGTTGGACAGCTAATTTTACCTTCCTGGCAAACTATCCTTATGTCTTGACTGTGAGACTATAATTTATGGACGACCTTTGGGCGACGCTAGACTGACTTTGAGAGTGTCCACCTAATAACTATGACCAAATGAGGGTTATAAACCGGTGTGTGGAATTAAAATTATAATTTACATTTGATGATTAAGGTTGAGAAATAGATTTAGGTTTTTCACCACGAATTGACATCAGCTATAATGCCGAAAATCTATTTAACCAAATGTAATGGGTGAATTTCGCGCCAAAGTCTTGTATCTGGTTGGTTCATCCATAAATTATAATCTCACCGTCTTGACTAATAATCTGTTATGCAAACAGTAGTACAAACTCTATACCTGATCATTCACAAGCTTGAATATATAGATGAATAAATGTATAAACAACTAGAACACAACGTACAATAATTAAGAAAATAAAATGACTGCCAGAAATAAGACGATTATGGTAAAAATTGGGAATACAGTGTTCATGATTAAGTTTCACTAAATTGCGAGAGAAGTTAATAACAACACTTTATAGATGAGACACAAACTTATGATTAGGTGAATAAGAAAACCATAAACCAATTGTTAGTTATTTCATGCTAAAAACATTTAGAGCAATAATTTCCATGAGACAGGTCACAGAGTTTGCCATTCTCCTTTTCTTTTTTTTTCACAACGGATTCGTTGTGGTTTATCAGTATAAAGTCTTTAACTTGATGGAATCTTCATCCTACAATGAACGTGAAGGTGGTAACAGGATATTTGTTAGTTTTAGCAAAATAGTCTATTCTGTTTAAGAATTTGTTGTTCAAGTCAGTTAGCTTCGTGGTTTGACTGATAAATCCCAACTGAAGAGAAAGCTACGTCTGAAGTTTCTTACTGACCTCTTCCAATAACCGTATTGTCAACACACTTAGTTCAATGACCACATGGTAACTTGATGAATAAAATTCAATTAGCACTAAAGGCTAAATGAACCTGACATTGATTACTATTCATCAATTAACCGATAAAAATATAAAATTATTTTTATCTGTATTAATAAACATTATACAAAAACCATGTATATGAATAA